AATACAAATGTCAAGACAGTTCTACTGTATGGGGCACAAACCTGGAGAACTACGAAAGCTATCATCCAGAAAATACAGGTGTTTATTAACAATTGTCTACGCAAAATACTTCAGATCCGTTGGCCGGACACTATCAGCAACAACGTACTGTGGGAGAGAACAAACCAGATCCCAGTGGAGGAAGAAATCAGGAAGAAGCGCTGGAAGTGGATAGGACATACATTGAGGAAAGCACCCAACTGCGTCACAAGACAAGCCCTCACATGGAATCCTGAAGGTCAGAGGAAAAGAGGAAGACCAAAGAACACATTACGCCGAGAAATGGAGATAGATATGAGAAAAATGAACAAGAGTTGGATGGAACTAGAAAAGAAGGCCCAGGACAGAGTGGGTTGGAGAATGCTGGTCAGCGGCCTATGCTCCATTGGGAGTAACAGGCGTAAGTAAGTAAGTAAGTAAGTTAGTGACCTGGGAACGTGACTGCAGTACCCAAGGGACAACTGTTTAAGGTCGGTCACACACGACCTCTTTATGAGTAATTTTTGTGTTAGCTCCGTACTTGTTGAGACCTTACCGCCAGAGACGGATATCCATGGAATAAGGCGAGGTGTGGATTTTTAGGGTCGACCTTTTCTAACCCCACCCCTCCTTGTGGGAAGGCAGCATCGTTGTCATGGTGGTTGTTTGAAGGATCGATCGAAGCTGCTACCTTGACGCGGTGGTCGGGCTTGCCTATCGTGATGACCCAACCGAGCTATATTGGCTGGAACATATGTTCCTGCAGGTTCTACCATGCCAGGCAGGTCGATTGGTGAACGGTAAGACTAAAAGCAGCAACTCAAGGTCTGAGGGCGAAGTCGTACTGCTGACTGTAGAGGGGTGTGACAGCAGTAAGGTGTTTCCCTCGGACATCCAGCATGACAGCGATGCTGCCTTCCCACAAGGAGGGGTGGGGTTAGAAAAGGTCGACCCTAAAAATGTCACACCTCACCTTACCTCACGGATTTCCGTCTCCGGCGGTAAGGCCCTTTGAAGAACGGAGCTAACACGCCAAAAATCTTCCACAAAAAGGCCGTGCGCGACCGGCCTCAAGCAGTTGTCCCTTGGGCTCTGCGGTCACGCTCCCAGGTCGTCAAGACCAACACTAATCCAATTTCCTTTTCAGGTTCCTCAAGAAATACCCTTCCACGGTGTGGGCAGCCGGGAAGTGATATCAGCCCTCATACCCGTAACAGCACAAGAGACCAAGGTGGTCACATTCAAATCTTTCCTACACCTTCTAATACCTCTCTTATCTCCCCGACTAACCCTCCCCACGTCTCTTTATCACCTCGCACCGCTAGGGCAAACGATTCGAGTACGTGGAACGCTATTCCTGGTCTCCTGAAACCACGCTCTAAACTACACGTAGGAGCTTTTAACGTACGAACACTTTGCCAAATAGGACAGCAGGCTTCATTAGCTAGGAGTTTAGAATCTCGCGCCATCGATGTGTGCTGCGTCTCCGAAACGCGCATACAGGATCCAAGTAGCGTCATTCATTTGACCTCACCATGCCAAAATAAAGAACCGACTCGATTTACGCTTCGTGTATCTGGGAGCCCTGATTCTGCTTCCCGCGGCCTTGCCGGCGTAGGTATAGCATTGAGTCCTAGGGCAGAACTAGCTCTCTTAGAGTGGATCCCAGTAGACAGTCGTTTGTGCGCTGTCCGACTGAACGGAACAGTAAGAATCCGGAAAGATAGGGACACTCGTCGTTGCCTCTTCGTCGTCTCTGCCTATTCTCCCACTGACTGCAGCTCAGATGATGTAAAAGATGAGTTTTACAGAAAGCTTTCGGACCTTCTCCGAAAAGCTAAGCGCTCGGATGTAGTAATTGTGGCCGGTGACTTTAATGCTCAAGTAGGTAAACTAAGCGATAGGGAGAGACACCTGGGTGGATCTTACGGTGTCGTGGCTCAAAGAACAGATAATGGCGACCGTCTGTTGCAGCTATGCTCAGATAACCGCCTGTTCCTTGCAAATACTAACTTTAAACATAAGGAAAAACATCTTTTAACATGGAGACCCCCTAATTCGTCCCAACGTTGGACCCAAATAGATCACATCGCTATCAGCCACCGATGGAGGGGCTCGATAGAAGACTGTCGCTCATTCTGGAGCACACGCCTAGATTCAGATCATGCTCTAGTGCGAGCGCGTATTTGCTTGCGTCTAACTGGACGTAGGAAAGACACTGCAAGAAAACCTCTTAGGGGCCTACTTAATGATAGTCAAGCTAAGAGTATATTTCAGGAACAACTAGGAAAACAGTTAGGCAGCCACGTATGTGATGCCCACCCCGATGCAGCATGGAATGATATCCGAAAAGCTGTGGAAACAGCAGTGATATCTGTTAGTACGGTAAACCGTAGGGTTAGGGAGCAACACTGGATCTCAGCAGCATCTACCGCACTGAGAGATGCTCGGAAACTCATTCCATCTGACTCTGAACATAATGAAGAGCGGAGTCAGCTTAAGCGCAAGGTGACAAGAAGTCTACGCAATGATCGTGAACAGTGGTGGGTAGCGAGAGCAAGAGAAATGGAAAAGGCGGCGGCAATAGGTAATAGCAGACAATTGTTCAGACTCGTTAAGGAAACCGGAATTAGGAACCCGACCGTTAGCGAAACAATCTCAGAGAAAGATGGACATATTATTCATTCTCAATCCAGGAGATTGGATCGATGGGCAGAACACTTTAGGGATCAGTTCAACTGGCCTTCAGCCACACTTCGGTTTCCCACGATCTCTAGTCAACCTGAATGGCAAGTTAATGTAGGTCCTCCGACTTTTTACGAAGTTGAAAAAGCCATAGGAAATCTGAAACGAGGGAGAGCAGCAGGCCCTGACAGGTTTACTCCTGAGATTTTTAAGGATGGTGGTCCAGTATTAGCAATGAGATTAACCGAGGTCTTAAGTAGAATTTGGGAACTGGACGTAATCCCATCTGACTGGTCTCAATCACTGATTGTGCCAGTCTATAAGAAAGGACAAAAGTCCTCTTGTGACAATCACAGAGGAATCAGTTTGACTAATATAGTGTCTAAAATATTAGCTTCAATAATACTTCGACGCCTAATCAAAGCTCGTGAAGAGCAGACTAGAGAAAATCAGGCTGGCTTTCGACCTGGACGTGGTTGTATAGATCAGATATTCACACTACGTCAGGTTCTAGAACACAGACACACATTCAGACGCCCCACAATGGTAGTATTTCTCGACCTTAAGGCGGCATTCGACTCTGTTGATCGTGAGGTTCTATGGCAGTGTTTGTCACTGAAAGGAGTACCAAAGAAGTACATTAACCTTATAAAGGCTCTCTACTCGAACACAACTGGTAGAGTGAGAGCTTATGGCGATCTGTCATCAGAATTGATTACCTCAAGTGGTGTTCGTCAGGGCTGTCCACTCTCCCCATTCTTGTTCAACTTTGTCGTGGACATACTTCTAGAGATAACACTTTCCTCATCTAGATTTCCAGGGGTTGAACTTCTACCGGGAGGTTCACTTGTTGACTTAGAATATGCAGATGACATAGTTTTATTTGGTGAAGACGCTGACAAAATGCAGAGTCTTCTGACCACTCTAAGCAACAATGCAAGCATGTTCGGGATGAGATTCTCTCCCTCGAAATGCAAAATGTTGCTTCAGGATTGGGTTACATCGACACCCGAACTAGTGATAGGGAGTGAAGTAGTTGAGTGTGTCGACCGCTTCACTTATCTTGGAAGTCTGATCAGCCCTTGTGGTCTGGTGTGTGACGAAATCTCAGCACGGATACAGAAGGCTCGACTAGCTTTTGCCAACTTGCGTCATTTATGGCGTAGGCGAGATATCCGTCTATCAACCAAAGGACGTGTTTACTGTGCAGCAGTTCGTTCCGTCCTACTTTATGGCAGTGAAACATGGCCGGTAAGAGTAGAGGATATCCGTAGGCTACTAGTATTTGATCATAGGTGTCTTCGAAACATTGCTCGTATATCACGGGACCATCGAGTAAGTAACACAGTTGTTAGGAAACGGGTATTAGGTAAGGATGGCAAATCAATTGATGAAGTAGTGAAACTTCATCAGTTGAGATGGCTGGGACACGTGTTACGTATGCCCAACGACCGACTGCCTCGACGTGCTATGTTCAGTGGTATAGGAGTAGGTTGGAAGAAAGCTAGGGGCGGCCAAACCAAAACATGGCACAAGTCCATGAAGTCACTGACAAGTGAACTGAGTCATGTTGGTAGGTGTAGACTACCTGGTTGGGGACCGCGAGATGATAGCAACCGATGGTTAGAGACCCTGAATGACATGGCTCAAAATCGTTTGCAATGGCGCAGGTGCATCCACTCTCTGTGTTCTCTCAAATTCTAATCTTCTGAATTCTTCATGTCCCTTTTTTCCTCTTTCCAAATTTATTTCACTGGATTATACTCTATAAATAACATCTCCAAACCCTAATCTTCCCGATTACTGCTTATACTCTTGCTACCTCTACCACTATGGGATTTGAATGGACAACTGCATCTCTGTGCTAATGTGGTGTGGCAACTCGAACTGATGTACGTACGTACGAAGTTCTACGTTGATACTGACTGACTGACTGACTGTTTGAAGGAAACACCTTACTGCTTTCACACCTCTGTACAGTGAGCAGTACGACTTCGCCACTCAGACTTTGAGTTGATGGTTTTAGTCTTACCATTCTCCAATCGACCTGGCTGGCATGGTAGAACCTACATTAACATATGTTCCAGCCAATATAGCTCGGTTGGGTCATCACGATAGGCAAGCCCGACCACCACGTCAAGGTAGCAACAACGGTCGGGCTGTCTTATTATCATACTATAGTAATATGTCGGTAAACATGAAAATATTTTCCATATATCAATTATGGAATATAACGATTTTATTCTTTATTTAATGATTAATATTGTTGCTTATTCATTTATTTATTGATTAATTAGACAAAGTAACAGAAAATGATCTTCATGAACTTCTTCATCGTATGATTTATCAATGTAAACCAACATTAGTCGGTTTTGGAAAAGTTGACAAGTTACCATCATTAGAAGATACTGTTTCTCTATTAAATAATGAATCATATAAAGAGAAGAAATTAAAGACAAAATATAAAATGTCTAGTATATTTAAAGGATTGATTTAATTTCATCTTTTTGCGTTTTTCTCTCCATCCTTTTTTCACTTGTCATATGTGTTCTCTTATATAAGAGAACCCATATGATTTGTAAATTATTCAATATAACTGGATGATGATTAGTTGTGTAAATGATTAAGTTATTGTTTTGTTTTCTTTGGGGGTGGGGGTGAATGTTGTTGTTAGGCACGTGGATAATGATTTTTTTAGCTGGAAATCTTAAATTTCTACACACTAAACTTTGGTTTTTTGAGGTGACTTCCGGGTCGCCATAATATACGAAATTGTTAAACCAAATCGCCAAACAGAAATATGACAGAAGACTAAATTTACAGCTTAGTTTAGTTACAGAAATCAGCGGGTATTTAATCACCGGTTACTTTAAATTTGAGGTTCCAGATATTTATGTTAATGACAGTTTAGATATGTAACCGTTCATGTTACAGAGAACACATAACCAAGTTAAGTTCTAGGAAGTTCTCAAGGATAACGATTGGTTCAAAAGTTTTTTAGGCAGTTTTTCTTTACCGTCTACAGATCTTGAGGTCGACTATAGACCTTAAACAGAAAAAAAACTTGGCTTCCCAACATTCTCATAGGCGAGACCCGTTCCCTACTTAAGTTGGTTTGGACAGTTGGGTCGTATCATTGTTTCCCATGGACAGTTGTACATATCTGAGTGCTAATATATGAAGAACAGTAACTTAGTCACAACTTGCTCAACATAACAACACGTTGGAGCTCGCTTATTGATTCATTTTCAAACAATCATCGCTAGCGAATGAGCTGGGGAATCTCGAAAATATTCTTATGTAAACCTTGTATACACACTGATATTTTGTTACTTACAATTTGCCTTGCACTATATTTATGTTTTGATTTTAGAACCAGCTGAGCGGAGTAATGTGTTTAAGTTCATTAAGCCGTAGAAAAATACTAGGGCAAATAAGGAGATTTAAAGTTAATTTCAAAAATTAGCATATAGGTACATAGTTCCAAGTGCCATTCTGCATTTCATAGGGCCAAAATCCGTTCTTCACAGAATTAAAGCTATCGAGTTTTGTGCTGTAAATAAGTAAGCAAAAGTATTTACTACAGCTGTAGTGCCCGCTGTCGCATAAGTCGCCTTAGTATGTAGAAAAGTGATGAGCACTGTAGGATTTAAGGCAAATTGTGCTTTACTCTATCCGAGTTCTGGCATTACTAATTACAAATACTCTTCAGGTGATCTTACACATGCTTACTTGTTATATTTACTACTGATGGTCGTCATTCTATTATTCCATGTATCTCATACTTGTTGATATTTATTCTCTTCAGCAACGTGGTCATGGTTTTAAGTTCCTCAGCTGTGTACACTTGAAAAATCCTAGGGAAAGATGTGGAGATGTTTTTATCTTTTAATAAGAACCGTATTCCTGAACAAAAGAACAGTAACTATTAAACCATCTTATCAGTATCCCATTGTAAACTAATCTCAACTTTCAAACTAAACGGTTTAATGTGAATGGTGTTTAATAGTTACTCATGAATATGTTTTTAGTTTAAGGTAAAGCTATCGCTTGAAACTGCTCTACTGAAACAGCTCATTTCAAAGTTGACATTTTACTATCAGTAAGTAGATGTTACATTCATCCTTTGTAAATGTATTACCGAACAACTACAGGTTCTTCAGTTAATTCTACCAAGGAAATGCTGCCATTAAAATTCATAAGAGAAGAGTAATTTCCAACTAGAGTAGTCCTTTTAGATGTTCTGTTAATAAAACAAGTATGTTGATCAGTAAGAAGTAATTGAATCAGGCATTTCAAGAGGTCTATATTCCCATTTCCTCAACTCTGCACCTCTACATTATAGAATAAACCTGATCAAGACACCTAGTAAAAGAATAATGATCAAGTACTTTAATGAAATAATCTGTGAAAAATTGGATGATTTGCCTACTGTCAACGAAAATGGAAAGTTTATAAACGGAAATCAGAATAGATGCTTAAGCTGTGATCAAGAAATCTCTATTTATGCATTGTTATTTCGTAGATGATGTGCTCGACAGGATGCTGATGAACGGATTAGACGAAACAGTACAAAATATACTATAGATCCATGGTTATTATTATTATCAAAAAGACAAGCTTCACGGGAGATTAAAAACAGCTTGTAAACAGTTGCCCCTCGCCCCAGTTTACTACCGATTGATGTATGTGAACACACATACTCAGAGACTGACTAACCGCGATATACAAGTAAGGGTGGACACATGGTTAATGAAATAACATCGAAAATATATAATTAATTGTAAAAGTAATTGCACTTACGAAAATGTTATTTATTTGATATCTTGACGAAATAATATTTACAAAATTATACTACTGATTTACTTTAATAAGTAGCAAACGACGATTACATGTAGATTTCTGAGAGAAAAATATCGAAGTGTTTTTTTTATTTCAAAAATAAAAGAAGGTAATAGGCACTTTTCTATCAGTTTTTCTTACAACAACAACAAAGACAATTAACAAGACATTTACACAATCCAAATACACAACTTAATATCCAAATCAGAATTAACACACCGACAACAACACAAACAGTAATGGTGATTGGTTTCCAACTATTGTAAAGAAAAAAATATTGGAAAAAGTGTTGGAGTTAAAAAGATGTGCTTATACTTTAAAAGAATATTGAATTATTGATAAATAAACATAAAATGGTACTTGTACTGTCACCAAATTTGAATTAATTTAGTTCATAGTAATGTAATCACTTAAATGCCCTGGTACGGTCGAGAGTGGAAAGAGTCAGATCTCCCTCGAGAAATGCTCTCACATGGCCACGTGCATACAACCACTTCAAGGGAAGTTCTACTCACTGCCATTTCTCGGCATTACTGTTGTTTACGAAATTGAGAGGACGAGAAGAGAATGAACGGTGCTGCAACGGGGTTTGTGGATATTGAGGATCTAACTAAGGGAGATGGAAAACTCTGATTCCAAACCAATGCTCCACATGGCCTCCAGGACCCTCAGGAGACAAATGAATCAATTATTGGTCACCGGCTACCATGGGACTGTATCTCCTGACGTTGCTCCACTGCCTTGTGGAACAGACCTTTAAGTTGAAGGCTCCTGATATGGCTCCTTAAGAAAATCACCTGCTTCGGTTTGGGCACCCGAGCAGTATTGCAGCCCTCACATAAATCGGATGAATAATTTATCTGGCACATATCTATTTGGTGCCTTCATGCACCAATGTTTATGTGTTTAAATAAATAAATATTTCAGAATGTATTGAACTTTTACAGTTCTATCTAAACTAAAGGATCAGATTACATTGATGAATTTTTAGAGACTATCCCTTATAAGAAAGCTAATAAAATTTATTTTAGTGTATTCTACAAATAACTGACTAGTTTCATGTGAAATCTTGATTAGAATCATATAGTTTTGAATAGATGAATCTGTTTTACTGTTAGTAATGGTATCGGTTACTATGTGAAGTCCATATAACTTATTCTGGCTTCGGGAAAGATCAATTTATTCATTCTTCTAGAGTCATGTTTTCACATTGTTAATTATTCACTAATCAACCTTGACTATTATTATATGAGCGTATATGTGTGTACATTTATTATCCTATTCATCCCATGTATGTAACTTATTTTTGTCTGGCTATAAATATTGATTAACGCTTGATAAGTTGGGAGTTGGCTCACACGCTTTCTCCACAGCGTATCATTTCGCTTTATTCCTCTGATTGCCCGTTCAAACCAATGAATGTACAGCATACATATATTCAAAAATTCATTCTTATATTTAATTCCGTTATTCACTAACACGAGTTAAGTTGATAATTATATACGTGGATAGATGACATATGTACTTCAATAACATTTATACACTTTAATTGGTGATCACTAAAGTAATCAGTTCGTCAATAAGATTATCTGATCTAATTGTGATGTCAAAATGAAGGGCTCCACAAATTGACATGATCATTTATAACCAACTAATCAGATATTTCAACAAACATACCATTAATAATGATTGAATAACAAGAAGTAAGATATTTACCAACTTAATATATCCGTTGAATGATACTGGAATCATTCTTCATTAGAGTATTGTCAGTGTAGAAAGTAAAGTCATCGAATGTTTTCAAATGGATAGAACTTTATTCACTTAGATATCCATTTGTTTGTTACCAAATGGTATCTATTGAGTTAATTAGCTTAAAGTCATATTTCAATTAGTGGTCTTCAATGATTGTTAATACTTAGATAATGAATTAATGTTTTCTTACTATGAAGATGATAACTGATCGAAATAACAGTGGTGTATAATCATTCATTCTAGTCAGTTATTGAACGATCTTGTGAATTATAAAGAATCATCTGTGTTTCATTCAAGAATATTTAGATAGCATGAATGTTAAATTCATTTGATATTGTTTGCTTATATCTTCCGATTGTTGTTTAAGACTAAAATTGTCCAAGTCTCTTATGAACATATGAGCATCCTGTGCGGATTGCCTCGATATTGTCTTAAATCACAAGTATTATAGTCAAAGATGGATAGTGGTTAGCAAACAATACCAAGTGAATTTAAACCTTACCCTAATACTGTTGGGATAATCAGGGAAATATCCCAAAAATTATCCTGTTAAGCCTAATGCTATCCTTGGACATAAAATGGTATCATCTTATTAGTCAATATTTATTTCACGTGTCATTTTCCTGTTGGCCATTATTGTACAATGTTATTTTCCATTTTATGGTACGTTGTGGTCTGCTTGACTGGTATATAAACAAAGTATGTTTGAAATATAATGATTCATATCTCCGAGGCTGAAACTTGTGTTCTGGACTCAACTGGCTGGGTTAGACAGGGAAGCGAGACCGATCAGAACCCTAGGTCGTTCTACGTGTTTGCGCGTCTTTGGTCCGGTCAATAATTCGCTACCTTTAATCCGCAGCAAATATTTTTCACAGTCATAGCAAATACACAAGCAAGTGGCTATTAGGACTCAGTATCTAAGTGGATAACGTGATATCATTTGAAGTGAATAATACTGGATTCGACTCTTGGAGTGAACATCAACTTTAAAATGAAGGTACATCCATCTGACCAGTCGCAAATAGAACGAAACGCACATCAAATTGGATTTCACTGGT